AAAATCACGGATGAGATGAGCGCCTCGCCATGGCAAGTTATCTAGGGGAAACGCTGCATGTTATAATTCACATGGAACCCTTGTGTGAAACGAGACAGGGCTTAATTCACTTTAGTTGGAATTGCAACACAATATGTCTAAAGACATCTTAATATCCACAAATAAATAAATATGCATGTTTAAATATATATGAGTGTGTGTACGAGTGTAGTTTGTGCATGATGAGTGAGAAGTTGTGATACCGCTGTGATTTTTAACAGCTGAGTGAAAATCACCCGAGTGCTCAGTTTGTGTAAGAACACCATCAGTTTCTGTTTCTGAGAGGACCCAAAATGCAGACAGACGAGCAAGAAAATAATTGAACCAAAAGACTAGTAAAAAATTAATTGCTGACATTGCAGCAAAAATACTACAGAACTAAAACACAACAACAGAAGAATACCTCAGGGATCCAGGGGGAGAGAGAATAAATATATATATATTGGGTGGGGTGATTACCGAGTGAGTGCAGCCGGGTTAATTAACAGGTGTTAATTAAAACTCAACAGTCACGTAAACATGATGGTCAAATCCTGTTTTTTTCAGCTGAGACGGCTGTCTAAGCTGAAGCCTATACTCTCCAAAAATAACCTTGAGACAGTGATCCACGCCTTCATAACATCTAGGCTTGATTACTGCAATTCACTTCTGTTTGGAATCAGTCAGTCCTCCATTGCTCGTCTACAACTGGTCCAAAATGCTGCAGCCCGATTTTTAACTGGTACAGGCTATAGAGAGCACATCACGCCAGTTTTGGCCTCCCTGCACTGGCTACCCATTCACCTTCGGATCCATTTCAAAATCCTCATGTATGTTTTCAAATCACTGAACAGTTCCGCCCCATCCTATCTCACTGATCTTCTGCAGCCATATGTCCCACCGCGCTCTCTGAGGTCAGCAGACCAGATGCTTCTCTCAGTCCCAGAAACCCGTCGTAAGCTCAGGGGTGACAGGGCTTTCTCTGTTGCAGGTCCACGACTGTGGAATGAGTTGCCACTGAGTGTCCGGCAGGCTCCCACACTCTCAGTCTTTAAGTCTCGCTTGAAGACCCACTTCTATTCTCTTGCCTTTAACACGTTGTGATTTGTTTTGGTCCGGTCTGTTCTCTACTCTGTTGGCCATTTTAGTTAGCTTCTGCTGCTATTTGTATCTGTATTTCTATTTTATGTTTTCCTGTCTGCTGTGCATGTTTGGTTCTTTTGTACAGCACTTTGGTTGGCCTTGTTGCTGTTTTAAGTGCTATATAAATAAATTGGTATGGTAGGTGTATAAAAAGCTAGGAAAACCACTAAATACAAAAAATAAAATAAAAATTTGAACACATATGTTATGAAGTACACCTCCCTCCCCCAACAAAAAACAAGCCAACCCCCCCCCCCCCACACACACACACACACACACACACACCATGACAAAATCTAAGTGTTGCCACAAAAATGTTACAAAAACCTGGTGCAAAAAATAAATATTTTAGGGAGGTCCTGTTTTTTTCAGTATTATGACTCCAAACCACAGTTGGCTCCAGAGTAATTACAAAAACAAGTCTCCCTAAAGTTCAGGCGTGATAAACAAAAACAACAAACAACAACAAAAAATATACTTGTAAAAAGATGAGTTCTAGTGTTTTCCCTTTTTCTTCAAACAAGTCCCGCTGATGTGGAGTTTCTTTTCTTCCAGGAAGGCGAGGGAAAGGATGATTGAGCTGTCCCGTTCCAGAGATGGAGGAAAAAGTGAAGGGATGGAGGGATGGGTAGAGGCATGCTTCACGGAGAACGGGTTCAGAGAAGGGCAAGAAGGAGACGATACGGCAAAAGGAGGAGGAGGAGGAGGAGGAGAAGGGAAACAGGTTCATGGTTCTTCTTTTCCTTCACCTCCCTCAAGCTTCATGGACAGCATCTCTGGAGAGTTTGGCCTCGTGATCAGCGGTCACAGTTTGGTAAGAAAACACAAATTCATACATGAAACAAACAGGGGTTATCAATAATAAAGCATGAAATGAAATTAATTCTTCTTTTTCCTCCAATGCTTCTGTTTTGGAACTAGAAATCATAATTTTTCTAATTAAACCTCCTGTCCTGTCCTCTGATAGGCTCATGCACTTGAAGCGGACATGGAGGCAGAGTTTGTGTCAACAGCTTGTGCGTGCAAAGCGGTTATCTGCTGCAGAGTCACGCCGCTGCAGAAAGCTCAGGTGGTGGAGCTCATCAAAAAACACAAGAAGGCCGTCACTCTGGCTGTAGGAGACGGCGCTAACGACATTAGCATGATCAAAAGTGAGTTGCATGGAGGTTTGTGGGCGGTATGGTGGCTCAGCTGGTAGAGCTCTTGTCTCTCAGCGAGAAGGTTTTCAGATCAAATCCAAGCCAGGGGCCTTTCTGGGTGGAGTTTGCATGATCTCTCCGTGCATGCGTGGGTTTGCTCCGGGTACACTGGTTTCCTCCCACAGACCAAAAACATGCATGTTAGGCTGATTGGTAACTCTAAATTGTCCCTAGGTGTGAGTGAGAGAGTGAATTGTTGTTTGTTTTGTTTGACTCTGTCCCTGTGATGGACTGGAGACCCGTCCAGGGTGTCCCCCTGTCTCTTGTATGGTGACTACTGAATATGGACACCAGTGACCCCTGCAACACAAAAAGTAAGAAGCGGGTAAAGATAGTACAGTAGATGGATGGATGGATGAAGGTTAGGAAGAGAGAAGTGTCGTGAGGAGCGGATACCTTTAAGCAATGGAAACTTTCAGCAAAAGTGTTTGTAGAAGTCGATGTTGCCTGTTGTGACGGAGACTGTGTTGAAATGATTGTTGCACCGATTGAAATGTCTTCACAGACAGAGTCTGAGCTTTTGTAACACCTTCTGACCTGCAGGTTGGCGTCCTCCTCCTTACAAATGGATTTGGTGATAAATATAACTTAAACTTAAGATTTCTTTTAAAAAAATGCACTTTTAAAACAATTATAAATTGTGCTGGCTTGTTGTATTAAACACAACTGGTTTATTTCTAACAACAAAGCAAATTTAGTGGAAACAAAATGAAAGCATGTTATAAAAACAGCTTGGTTGGTTTTCTTCTGCTATTCACTAAGTGTTGCATCATTTTTGTGTTTTTGTCTGTTCACATGCATGTTTAAATAATAACTTAATTAAGAAGTGCAAAGCACAGAAGTAAAAACATAATTAAACAAAAGTGCATTCTGAGTGTTGCGACAGTGTTTGATAACTGAAGTGGTGGATCCTGTTTTATTTGGGTTGTATTTCTTTCCACTGGGGAAGTTAAATCTTGATTAGTAACAGGGAAGGCATATTTCAGTGATTCATTCAGGAATACAGTAAATTTAGTTTAAGATGTTTACCACCGCTAAAAACATCAAGAAAAGAAAGGTGAACATAGAGCTGATGCAAGAAAACATCCATCCATTATCTTTTACCCGCTTCTTCCATTTTGGGTCACGAGGCTCGCCAGTGCCCATGTCCAGCAATCACTGTGCGAGGGGCGGGGTACACCCTGGACAGGTCTCCAGTCCATCACAGGGACACATAGAGACAAACGAGACAAACAACCATTCACTCTCTCACTCACACCTAGGGACAATTTAGAGTTACCAATCAGTCTAACATGCATGTTTTTAGTCTGTGGGAGGAAACTGGAGTACCAGGAGAAAACCCACGCATGCACAGAGAGAACATGCAAACTCCACCCAGGAAGGCCCCTGGACCAGGATTTGAACTAGCAACCTTCTCGCTGTGAGGCAGCAGCTCTACCAGTTGTGCCACCATGCTGCCCTGCAAGAAAACAAACAAACAAAAAAATTAAAAATGTTTTTGTTAATGTTTATGGATTCTAAAATAAGTGCCCCTCTGTAAAACTTTATTTTTTCAAGTTTAAAGACAAATTTTGGGGGTTTCTATGGTAAATACATTTTTTAAAGGTTTTCTTATAAACATCAAAGTTCATGCTCAACAATCCAGGTACAAATTCTACAAAGTTCAGTCAGGTCATCTGGATGGTTCCTTTTTTTTTTTTTTGCTGAGATGTTTCGTCCTTCATCCAAAGGACTTCTTCAGTCCGAGGAGACACAAACAAACTGGAGTTCCACAAGCACCAACTCCTATAGTGGAAAAAACAGTTTGCTGGTGATAAGATGGTTTCTGGCGCCTTCCCTCTCCCCCATCAGCTCCTTCTAAGGCAGCCGTGCCAAAATGGTTCAAAACACCACAAAAAAATTCCCACTATGGGAGTCGGTGCTTGTGGAACTCCAGTTTTTTGTGTCTCCTCAGACTGAATAAGTTCTTTGGATGAAGGATGAAACATTGCAGCAAAAAAATAAACCGTCAAAATGACCTGAATGAACATTGTTGGATTTGTACCTGGATTATTGAGCATGAATGTTGGTGTTTTCTTATAAAGTGTAGGTTAAATCTTTTGGAGTGGGGTTTAGTGGGTAGTTTTATGAACAATTATCTTACCTGTTGTAGATTGCTCTTTCAGTGACCTGTTTGGAGAAACAAAACCTAATCTCGATCAGCTTGTTGAGCTAATGACTAGTTTAACTAGGACAAGCAATTCAAGACCAACGTGGATTTCTGACATTTTAAAACATTCATTCAACCTTTATTTAGACAGGTAAATCCCATTGAGCCTCGAGGACTCATTTACAAGAGAGACCTGATTTCAACAAAGAAAGATGACAACAATGGACAACAGCAACAACAATAAACAATTATAAAAAGTCATACTGCAGTTTTTTTTTTTTTAACAAATAGGATGGCTAAAAGGAAAAGGTAACAACAACCAAAAAACAGCTAGATTCTAAGGCGAATGTAGAAAATTAAAAACAGGAACATGTCTGCATTGGTCCCTGCCAGGAATCCAACAGAATCTTAAAGCCACTTAGAGAGGTCAAGGTCGAGAGCTTCAAATCTTATTGTAAGATATTCCAGGAAACAGGAGCAGAGTAGGAGAAGGCCCTTTTGCCTAGTTCAGTCCTCATTGAGGGAACACTGCAGGTAACAATGTCCTGAGAGCGCACTCTGTAGCTGCACTCACGCAGAAACATGTAGGAGGAGATGTATGAAGGCAGCAGACCAAGAAGTGATTTAAAGATGAAAATGTACCAGTGAGAGAGTCTACGTGAAGTTAATGATGTCCAGTTAACCAGTGAATACAGGGTGCAGTGATGGGTACGATAATCACAGCCAGTTATGAATCTTAGTGCACCATGATAGACAGTATCCAACATCTGCAGGGTTCTTGTAGGAGCGTTCATGTAAATAATGTCACCATAATCAATGGAGGGAAGGAAAGTCACAGATACAAGGCGTTTTCTAGCATTCAGGGTTAGACAGGATCTGTTTCTGAAAAAGAAACCCAGTTTAACTTTCAGTTTCTTTACCAAGTTTTCCACATGGAGCTTAAAAGAGAGATGTGAGTCGACCAAGATACCCAAATATTTATAGGAATCAACAAACTCAATGGGGATACCATTTGAGGATAAAATCGGAGGAAGAACTGCTGGGACCAACTTCCTATTTGAAAAAGCATCCCTTTGGTTTTGTCGGCATTTAGGACAAGTTTGAGGCGGAACAAATCTGTCTGAATGTAGTTGAATGCAGATTTCAAAAGCTGGAAAGCCTTAGCAACAGTTTTAGCTCGACAATAAACAACTGTGTCATCAGCATAGAAATGTATGGATGCATTAGGGATGTTTTTACCTACATTATGTATGTAGATTGTAAAGAGGGTGGGTCCTAAGACTGAGCCTTGTGGTACACCATTGTTAACTGTTAAATAACTGGAGGAAGTACCATTATGTTGAACACATTGCCTCCGGTCTGAAAGATAGTTAGAGAACCAACCAATGGTGTGTTCTGAGAAACCGATTTCTGAGAGTTTATGACACAAGATGTTATGATCCACAGTGTCAAAAGCTTTAGACAGGTCTAAGAAAAGTGCAGCACAATAATCCTTAGCATCCAGTGCTTCAACAACGTCATTAAGAACCTTCAGTGAAGCAGCGGTTGTGTTGTGTTGTTTCCTGAAACCAGATTGATGTGGAGGTAAGATGTTAAATGAGTCCAGGTAATTTTTGATTTGAGAGTTTATCAGTTTTTCTAGAACCTTGGCTAAAATGCAGAGTTTAGAGATTGGTCGATAGTTGTTCAGTGAGGTGGGGTCACCTCCCTTCAGCAAAGGAAGAACAAAGGCTGTTTTCCAAGTGTCTGGGATGGAGTTTTGTCTTATGGAGAGATTGAAGATGTGGGTCACAGGGACTGTGATGATATGAGCAGCCAGCCTTAAGAAATAAGGTGGAAGTTCATCTGGACCTGCAGATTTTTTAGGGTCAAGATCTTTTAACAGTTTATTGACCTCACTGACTGAGAATGGAGAAAAAGAGAATGTGTGATTAACTGAGGATTGACTTGTAGGAGGGATTTGATTTGTAGAAGTTTGGTTATTAAGTGAAGTGGCTGATCTTCCATTAGTAACTGTGTCAAATAAAGAACTAGAAGCAACAAAATGTTTGTTGAAACAGTTCAGGATCTCGTGGGTTTTTTTGACACAGGAACAGAGTTAACGAGAAGTTGTGATGGGAGGTCAGATGATTGGGGGGTGCCTGAGAGAGATATGATGGTTTTCCAGAATCTGTTAGGGTCATTTAGATTTTTGGAGGTCTGAGATAAGAAATAGTTGCGTTTTGCTGCTTTGACAGCAGTTGTGCATTTTAAAACAGCTGCAATCTCAAATATTTCAGTGCTTCGTGTGAACATTATTTTGTCAGTCTTTAACTTTTTGTCATGTTGGCGTTACACAATTTTTTTTGTCAGGTATATTATGGTTTTCCTGCCAGAAGTGCCCCAGACAACACCACAAGTGCTACATCTAGCTGCCGCTGCCACTATTTGTTCTTGCAGATAACAACAGAAGTCAATGTTAATTAAACTGTATAATGTGAAAATGAAAGCTACGTAAAAAAAATTAAACAGTGTTTATATGAACCACTATAGAATTACTGAGACTGGAGTTGTTTTAAGATGTCAGCAAGGCCCATTGGCTTTGTCCTGCTTGGCGGAGTTTCTGTTTTTAAATCCAGTCAGAATTAAACTCTGCTTCTCCAAGCTGAGGTCATTGAAAGAGCAATCTACAACAGGTAAGATGCTAATTGTTTATAACCTTTTAACATAATCCCACTTCAAAGACTCACAACTATCTCCTTGATGAATTAAAGCTGAAAATGATTACATTGTGGGCACGGTGACTCAGCTGGTAAAGCTGTTGCTTCTCAGCGAGAAGTCATTGGATCAAATCCTGGCTGGGGGCCTTTCTGGGTGAAGTTTGCATGTTCTCTCCGTGCATGCGTGGGTTTACTCCGGGTACTTAGGTTTCCTCCCACAGACCAAAAACATACATGTTAGGCTGACTGGTAACTCTAAACTGTCCATAAGTGTGAGTGAGAGAGTGAATGGTTGTTTGTCTCATTTGTCTCTGTGTGTCCCTGTGATGGACTGGAGACCTGTCCAGGTTTTCCCTGCCTCTCGTAAAGTGACTGCTGGATATGGGCACCAGTGACCCCGGTGACTCGAAAAGAAAGAAGCAGGAAAAGATAATGGATGGATGAATTATTAGATTATTTCACTGAAGACTTAAAGGCTGAAGTTAATGACGACACGTGGGTACAAGCAGTTAATAAAACTGGTGCTCATTCTTTTACAGAATGTTGCCACGTGCTTTGTTGCCCTAAATTTTATTTTTGACACTTTAAAATGAAGAAATTGTATTCATTGTTAAGAGTATAGTTTTCTCAAATTTCTGGGGTGGCCAAAGATCAATCTATAGTGGCTAAAGCCACCATTGTCCACCCCCTGGCTCCGCCATTGCACCTGGTTGGGGATAGAATGGCTCCCTCCACTCACCAAGATCTGCCACTCTGCACCACCTGGCCAACAGAAAACAACACTACCTCTGTTCTTACACACCGTGTAACTCCTACCCACCTGAATGTCTTCGACAAAAAACATTAAGGTTTACTTGCATTCCCTGTTTAATTCTAGTCCAGAAAAACACTCAGCTTGAAGTCTACAAACATTCACTATTCACTCAGTGACGGGGGACGTCTTGTTCTGGTTTGAGTTGACTTTTTAATTTTCTTCGCCTCCCTTCTCGTCTCCTTCAGGTGCTCATATTGGAGTCGGTATCTCCGGTCAGGAGGGGATCCAGGCTGTGCTGGCCAGCGATTACTCCTTCGCCCAATTCCGCTTCCTCCAGCGCCTCCTGCTGGTCCACGGTCGCTGGTCCTACTTGCGCATGTGCCGGTTCCTTTGCTACTTCTTCTACAAGAACTTTGCCTTCACTATGGTGCACTTCTGGTTTGGCTTCTTCTGTGGCTTTTCTGCTCAGGTCAGAACATGACATCCAGAATCAGGGCGGCGGGGTTATAATTGGGGTTTTGACTGTTTGTCTGTCTCTGTCTCTGTCTTTGTCTGTTGTCTGCTCTTGTTGTAGACGGTGTATGATCAGTACTTCATCACACTCTACAACATTGTGTTCACCTCCCTCCCTGTGCTGGCCATGGGGATATTTGACCAGGTCTTTTCAGTTCTTTGCTTGGCAAAATCATAAATTTGTCACTTTCTTGTACTCAGCACATTGGTTTTTGAATGGAGCCTTCAGGATGAGGTTGTGAACTTTCAATTTTAATGCTTTTTTATTTTATTTAGTTTTTTACAAAAGCATTGCATGAGGTGTCACCAAATCACACAAATGTTTTTACACATTTCATTCATTTCTTGTGGTTGGAGTAGTCTAGCGTGAGTAAGGCTTCTGTTCTGGTTTAGGTTAGGTATGCTTATGTTTGCATTTTGCTCAAACCACTATGCCACTTAGCTTGGCTGTTGTCAGTCTGGAATCTTATTTTAGCCCATAAACTTTTTCATTTCTCCTTTTTTTAATTTGCAGGATGTTGCAGATCAGAGAAGTCTGGAATGTCCTAAGTTGTACGAGCCCGGTCAGCTCAATCTCCTCTTCAACAAGAAAGAGTTTTTCATCTGCATCACTCAGGGCATCTACACGTCCGTGGTGCTTTTTTTTGTCCCCTACGCCGTCCTGTCCAATGCCACTCAGAGCAGCGGTGTGCCGCTCGCTGACTACCAGACATTTGCCGTCACCACGGCGACCGCCCTGGTCATTGTAGTCAGTGTACAGGTAATCTTACTCTGTCTGTTTTTGATTAATTTGTTTCAAATTGTGCATTTAACGTTGGTTACAAAAGCATTCGACCCTCTTGACATCATTTCTATTTTACAAATACTTCAAATTAATGAAGTTAAATGTGAAAATGTGTTTATTCTTCATGACCAAACGGCTTCTGCTCCTTTAGGTTGGATAAGTGCAGCTTGTGTCCAACTATCTTTAAATCTCACCGGAGATTCTCTGTTAGATTTGGTCTAGACTTTGACTGGACCATTCCTAGCCATTTGCTCCTAACCCACTGTAGCTGTGTGTTTAAGGTCATTGTCCAGCTGGAAAGGAAACCTCCGCTTAGTCACTGGAAGACTTTTCTTTCAAGCATTTCTGTATTTTGCTTCATCCATCTTTCAGTTTTAATGTCCCTGCTGATAAAACCAAATCATCTCCACAGCATGATACTGTCGCCACCATGCTTCCGTGTAAGGATGTTGTTCACAGCAGGATGGGAGGTGATAGATTTGCCTTAGGTTTGATGTTGTTCTTGTTGGCCCAGATGTTTGAGTTTGGTCTCATCTGACCACAGCACCTTCCTCCACATGTTGGAGGATGAAACACCAAAACATCCACCTTTTTTTTTTTTCTTCAAGCGACTCATTTTCTTGGCCACTCTTTCAAGAATCCCAGCTCTCCAGTTTTAATATTGGGAATTTTTAAAACTAATCATGATCTGTACTTCTCCATAATTTTGTTTCTGACCTGCATGAAGAGTTCCTTGGTCTTCATGCTGTCTCTTGCTTGGTGGTAGACTTGGTTTTAGAGGTGTTGAACTTGGGGGTGGGGCGATGTTAGACCAGGTATACATCATTTTAGACTTAGATTTCTTACAAAAATGAGTTCATACGAGTTAATTTTCCCCATTTAACTTTATAAATCTGGAGTATTTTTAGATAATTATTGTCTTTAATCAAATTAAAAATCTGTTACCTTCCAAGTTAAAGGGGACAAAAGCGAAATCTTATCAAGAGGGTTGACTACCTTTACGTCCCACTGTGTTCCTGTTTTCTTACGCCTGTTTGATTTTGCAGATCGCTCTCGACACAGGCTTCTGGACAGTTATTAACCACGTGTTTGTGTGGGGCTCTCTGGGTTCTTATTTCACCATCATGTTTGCGTTGCACAGCCAGACCCTCTTCAGGATCTTTCCCAACCAGTTCCACTTTGTAGGTCGGTCTCCTGCTTTATGTTTATTTATTTTTTACAACTCAAACAAACCTCAATTAAATAAAAGTTTTATTCATGGTATTTATGAGCCCTCAAATTAGTTATAGCTAAGTTATAGCTAAAGTAAAGTTGTGATTTTAGTCACTGGCCTGAAAAAGTAGAACATTAAAAAAAATTAATCCAAACAATGTGCTTCTGTTTGTGTCTGCGTCTACGTTTGTGAGTACAGGTTGTGCCCAGAACACACTATTGCAGCCAGTCGTGTGGTTAACTATTGCACTAGCGACAGCAATCTGCATAGTTCCAGTTATGGCATGTCGCTTCCTCAAGCTGGACCTAAAGCCTCAGCTCTCAGACATGGTAAGAAGACAAAGACTTGACACGAGCGTGTCTCTGTTGCAACATGTCGCTGTTTTCCCAGCATGCTTGTTTCAAAGAGCCCACAGACAATGATTAACGTAATGCAAAGAAACTATTCCAAAGTGTGTTTGTGTGTAAGAGTGCACTTAGCGTCACAGGTCTCATGCACTGAACTACACTGCAACTATTGATCTAACCAGTGTAACTTAATGGCATGAGGTGCTGTCAGTAAATGAGTTTTCTGGTGAGTTCATGGCCTCCGTCAGTCAGCCAACTGAAGCTGCTGTCCAGGTGGTGCGAGGAAATTAATTTTCTAATTTACATAAAGATTCTCTACAGTTAAAAAAAGTCTGGAGTTTTGATGAGATTCCTGGCTATAAATAAAAATAGCACTTAAAGCAACATGCAAAGCACCCCACGGGCCCAAGAGAATATAAACTATTTCTCCAAGCACTGGATAAACGTGAGACGGTTTTATGTTATTTTTAAGCGTGCTCATCCAACTTTCTATTTTTATTCTTCCGTTGCTGTCAGGATTTTATCTTGCTGTCCCTCTCGCAGCTTTAAAAATCATTAAAAAAACATCCAAACCTCCATATTGGTGAGGAATAGTATGCTATGACATTTTGGTGACAGTTGGACTTTTGGTGGTTGTATGGCATAAACAAAATTCACAAAAATTTTCCCCATAGGCAACAATGAGGGAATTGTCTTACAAGGTTAAATCAGATCCTCTGGACGGATTCTTGTTTCCGTATCTTAGAATCCGTCCAGAAGATCTGACTTAACCTTGTTAGATTTTTCTACCTGGATTATTGAGCAGCATCAGGACAAAGGGGGAATTGATTGAACAGATAATAAAACAGCCCTTCTTGGCGCTACATAACTAGGTAGGAACATCATTTAAAGTTCAAACAGGTCAAAGAAAGTTGGACTTTACACGGCCGAAATGGCATTTTGCTGTCTTTAAAATTTCAAACCACAATCAGTTTAATGATTTTTGAAATTTTATGTCAGAATGTTCAGCGTAAGTGACGATTCTTTTAACTTGTCACGTTTCGTACATAAACTTAACTTTTCTAGGTTGTCAGTAAATATATTAAAAAATAAATTCCCGTGTTTTGTGTGTGTCTTCAGGTGCGTCACACTCAGTTGGTGCGGCAGAGGAGGAGGAAGCCGCCAGGTTGTGGTATCGGAGGGGCTTGGCGTGGCGCCGGCAGTGTCCCTGAGAGCCGCTTCGGCGCCCGCGGTGGCTCCCGGAGGTCAGGCTATGCCTTCGCCCACCAAGAAGGCTTTGGAGAGCTGATCACGTCAGGAAAAAACATGAGACTCTCCTCTCTGGGCCTGGCCAGCTTTGCCTCCAGGCACAGCTCGAGCTGGATCGAAACCCTCCGTAGGAAGAAAAATACTCACACTCCTCCCAGCACCTCCGAGAACTGCAGCCCGGCGCCCAGACATGCTTCCAGGATGGTTCCACCACTTTCAAACTCTTCATCTGTTCTGGGCGGCTCACAGGAAGCGCAGATCGAGGAGGAGACGGTCACAGAAGCAGGTCAGAACATTCGAGCTGTCCCCGCTGTGCTCACACAGCCAGCAGCTTCTGGGTCAGCTCAGGCCTCTCCTGCTGAGAACATCCCCTCTGCCGCTGTGAGGTCAGACTCACCAGGAGGCTGGATGCTCTCCTTTGGAACTGTGCAGGTCAGCTCGCTCTCTTCAAATCATTTTTAAATTTCACCTTGCACTTGTTCTATCTGCATGGCTTTAAACGTGCACGTTTAATCATCGTTCTCGCCCTGTTTGACAGGAAGCTCTGTTTGGCTGGAAGGCTGCTGCAGCTCGTCCAACTGCGTCCAGCAAACAGGGCTCTCCACGTGCTGCCATGGAAACCAGCCAGACTGAGTAAAACCGATGCAAAAGGTAGAAGAATCCCATGTTTGCAGCCAGATTTTTGCACACGTGCGCATTGTGGAGAAAGACTGAGCCGAGTACGCAGACAACAACACGGGTCTCTTCTCCCAAAATAAACAGATTTCATCAGTCAGAAGAGGAAGCAGCACATTCTAATTATTTGAACTTTCCCGACAGTAAATTCATATTTTTAGTGGTGGCATAATTAGTTTGAAACTTGCTGTTTATGGAGAGCTTTGAAAAAGAAGAAGCAGAACAAGCTAATACATTGTTTCTGCGTTTTACAGCTAAACAAATAAATGTTTTACTGATAAACAAAGGGGCAAAAAGAGTGAGCGTTACCTGTCAAAGTTTTCTCTGTTGAAAAACTTGTGTTAAGTTCTCAATGAGAACGCTCTTTAATTTACAGAAAACTGCTACGAGGTCGGTGTTCCTGTTTTCTCATTGGCATGCTGTGTTTTGATTCTGTAGCTACTTTCTGCATCATATTGATGTGTTTATAACAGCACCTTCAATGATGCTTTACATGCTTTAATTTGAAATTTAGGCTTTTATTTTTACGGTGTGATATTGGTCGGTGCCTCATGCCTCTTAAAAACGTCAGAAAGAAATAAAACAAACTTCCAGCTGTTTGTTTTTGTTCAAAATTATGTGATAGTCAATTCATGAGTATTCAAAGGTTGGTTTGTCTAAATAAATTAATGAAAAACGTTATTTTATGAGTGGTCGTTTGTGCCATTTCATGCTGTAAACATTCGCTTTGTGGTTTTTTTAACACAAAAAAGGGTGACGTGTCCTATTATCACACATTCATTTTCATTTATGGATTGTTGTGTTAATGCTTATCAAGCATTCACACTATTGTGATCCTGTTTATATATTATTCTTATAGTTACTATCCCTGTTCCATATGTTTTGGGGCGTCTATCGCATCCTGCAGTTTTCAAGCTATTTCAACAATTCATAAATCAAAACGTTCAGCTCGTTCAGGAGAAGGGTACTTTGACTTTTGGTATTGGTGCAACTTTAGCTTTTTGAGATATTTAGCCTTTTCTGCCATTTTTTCTCATAGAAAATGAATTGAGCTCATTTTACATCCTTCAGGTCTTGAGATCTGTTTACAACCTTTTACTGCTCCTTTCACAGTCTGTTCTGGTTCAGCTTCTTTCAGCTTCCTTTGCAAATTTAAACTTTTTTTCAGCAATTTTTTTTCATTTAGCCTTTATTTATCCAGGTAGACTCATTGAGCCACGAGAACTCATTTTCAAGAGAGACCTGTTTAGGGAGCAGATGGGGGTTAAGGGCCTTGCTCATGGGCCCAGAGTGGGGCGAATGAGGATGGGGGCAAGTGTGGGTGCTTCACCTACCCCACCCACATTTTTTTTGTTGATGTTGTCGGTACCGGGGCGTGAGCCGGCGATCTTCCGATCACAGGCCCACCTTCTCTAGCCTCTGCACCACCATTCCCCCGCTAATTTCAGCTTTTTCCTCTCTCTCTTTTGTGCTCCTTTCATGTTTGTGCTTCTTCTAACTTCTTTCTGTTAATTTCAGCTTGTTATCAAAAACACAAAGTTTGTTTTCTCAGTCATCCAGGTATATAACAACAAAAAAGGTTGAATCATGTCATCTGGACTTCGTTTTTTTTGTTAAAAAGAAACGTTTCGCCCCTCATCCAAGAGGCTTCGTCAGTCTGAGGCCTAGCCATCTGGTATTACCCAGAAGCCACCCTGACTCTTGTGTTTCAAGCCTGCCTCAGATACCCCTGAAGTCTGGCCTTTTCACTAATGGTTTCAAAAACACAAAGTTTGTTTTCTCAGCCATCCAGGTATATAACAACAAAAAAGGTTGAATCATGTCATCTGGACTTCGTTTTTTTTTGTTAAAACTTTGTTAAACAGATGACATGATTCAACCTTTTTTGTTCAGCTTGTTATGTTCCCTTCAGCTTATTTCTGCAAGTTTCAGCTATGATTTAGCTGTTTTACACTAATTTTAGAATTTCCAGCTAACTCACTTTTTTTTTTTTTTTTTACACTTGTTTCAATGTTTTTCAGTCTAATTCAGCAAAAATATACTTTCTCAACTTCTTTCTGGTAATTTAAGTTTCTTTTTGCTTTTTTAGCTACCTTTCAGTTGATTTTTGCTAATTTCAGCGTTTTCAGATCATTTCCACTTTTTTGTGTTAATTTCTGCTTCTTTCAGCCTAATTGGCCACAATTGTGCTCTCTTCAGGTCTTTCTGGTAATTTGTTTCTTTCTGCTGTTTCAGCTACTTTTCAGCTATTTCTGGGTAATTTAAGCTTTTTTGAGCTAATTTACTCATTTTTATGCTCATTTCTGCTTATTTAAACCAAATTCAGCAAATATGTGTCCTTTCTGCTTTCTTCTTTAAGTTAAGCTTGTTCTTCCATTTCAGCTACAGCTCAGCATGTTTTTTTTTAGCTAATTTCAGCTGTTTTTCAGCAAGTTCTTCAGCAATAAGCATTCACACTGCATTTCACAGGAGACACAATTTCTCTAGTTTTACATATAAGTTTAATTTTCTTACAAATGTCATCAGAACCAGAATCAGAATGCTTTTATCCTTGCACAGTGAAGTACAACAACATTACTTTCCGTACAGCCGTCCTAAAGACGGACAGAAGTGTACAGGGGGCTGCAGCGTCTAAGATGCACTGCCCCTGTTGCTTAGGTAAGAAAAGGGGAAGAAATAATCATAATCAGTCATAATAATAATAGTCATAAATTAGTCATAATCAGATCCTTGTTGGGATTAAGTAAATATTATGTAAATTAACCATATACACCTTCTATATGAATCTGCTGTTAAACATCCTTCAGATCAAAAAAATGTTGATTTGATTTCTGCAAAATTTGTGGAAAACTTGAGGATTTACAAATTTTGCTCAGATCAGCTCTTTGTGGAGCCATGCATCTGTGGATAGAACAATAAAAATAAATTACAAAAAGGATAACATATTTTACAAATGCAGATATGAGTTCATGCAGCCGTCAAAGTTTAAAGCAGCCAAATGAGGCAGAAAGAGAGGTGAAAGAGACAAATAAAACTTTAGAAATTATTATTTTTTTTTTAATTTCACTAAGTTTAACCACAAAAACTCCTCAGGGATATTTTGAGTTTATCATGTGCACTATCACCTTCTACTACTTTTTATATCATTTTTGAACATTTCCAGCCAACATCCCTTCATTTGCTGTATTATATGATTCCAAAATACCTGTGAAAACATAATGGTCCACGTGTGTATGACACATTCTGAACAGACAGAAAATGGTAGAGCAGCTCTAAGGGGGTTTTATTTCGACGCTGAGGAGGATTTCCTCTGTGTAACGGCGCTGAACAGGGGGAAGAGCTCTGGGATTTCACAATAACGGGTCTTACGGACAGCAGGCTGCTGCGGCCAGAGAAACTTGGCTTTAATTATCTCGTCTGCGGTGGAACTCAGTCGTTCTTCGGCTTTTGAAGGTGCAAACGAGAGTGAAGACTCTGCAGCTGTTATTGCTGTGCAAGTGATGATTTAAAGTGATGATTTGAGGAACTTTTGAAAGGAAAGACGGCCGGCAAAAATGGTTATTTTTCTGCCTTTTCTGATTCTTGTTCTGCGCATTCTGCCGATTTGCAGCATATTTGAGGGAACCTGTCCCAGAAAAGGTGAGCGATCTGAGAATACATCTAAATTAAATTGGTGAATGCTTTTACATCCTCTAAGGATGTTTTTTTTTTTTTTATCTTGGTAACAAGTTTATTTAGAAAAAAAAGTATGTTCAATTGTAGTAAAACTGAATAAAACTCGAGCACCATTTATTAGTCAGTTTTATTAGCGTGTAGCAAGAATTTAAAGAGTTAGAAAACTTAATATAACTGATTTTATTAGCATTATTGACATTTTGAGTCATTTACCCAAATCAATCAATTTTAGATTATCTACAGTTTTGTCTTACGTTGTTCCTGGTAATAGTTTTTATTTTATTTAGTGTTAATTTGTTTTATTTCAAGGAAAACATGTATTTAACTGGTTGTGTTTATTGATTTGAACTCATTCTATCACGGTTTTAATTTGCCAACAGCTTTCTTTAGTTTGCAGTAGAGAATCTGCACCTTTTTAGTTTTTATTACTCTGAATTATTTAGATACATCTTAAGCTAAATTCTATTTGAAAATGAAAACACTGAAACCAATCTATATACTGTCATTTGCACAGTTCAGGCCAAAGGTTTGTTGAATTAATGGGCAAAGTCTGTCTGATATTAGTTAAAGTCTGGAAAGCAGGCAGTGAACGAACGAGCAAATAAAAAAAATCTGAAGTTTGTTTTGAGTTATAATCAGATTTTTGAGTTCTGGGCAGAATCAAAGCAGATCAGGGGAACTGTTTATGTAAATTGAAATGATACGAAGGGGGTTAAACTTTGGGTAGAAGAGAAACTGTGTAGGCGAGATGCGTATTAAAAGAGGAAGTTTCAAAGGAGTGGGTAATTTTTGTTATGCAACATTGAATCCTATGTGAGCTGTGCCTAGTCAACAGTGACTGAAGAAGTCCCAGACAGCACGCTCAAAACACCTTTGCACTCACAAGCGAGGACAGCCTGCAGTATCCACAATGTTTGTTTGGTTCTGTGTGCAGATCCTCCCCCAGGTGTGCTGGTTGTGTCCTCTGGTAGCAGGCTGGTTCTGACCTGCGACGGCGATGTGAAGGTAAACGAAGCAAAGGTCATCCTGACCAGCTCCATCTGCAACAAAAAGAGGCCCGCTCCAGTCAGAACCCCAGCCCAAAGAGTCCCAAGCAGACGGCCGGCCTCAACTCTGCAGAACACTGAGGCAGGCGTGAGCTCAGACCTCAGACACTCAGACACAGGAAGACACGCCGTCTCTCCTGACACCGTCCACCCAACCTCCGTCAGCAGAACCACAACAGGTGGATCAGACTGGGAGGAGGAGAACGATGATGGTGATCGTGAAGATGAGGAAGAAGGGAGCAGGGTAACGAGAGGCATCAGGGCGAGACATCAGTGGAAGTGGAACAAACTGCCAGAGAAGAAACGAGACAGGAACTGGGGACAAAACCCAGTTATCAGTCATGAAGATTTTCTGTCTCTTGCTTCGGTGAGACCGACAGACGCGGGGAAATACGCTTGTTATCGCCAAGGAGAAGAAAGCTTTGCTGTCAAAGTCTTTGTTGCAGGTGAGTTTCAGTGGGGGGGCGTGGCTAAAGGTGGGCCTGCCAGTACCAAGGGCTCAAATCCAATCAAATGGCCTATTTCAGAGCTATTCAACTGGAGGCCCGGGGACAAATCAGGCCCACAGATGAACTCAGGTTGGTCCACCAGTGGCTTCATTTTAAATAAAACTAGATTTTAATCCATAAAACAAACTAACTTAATGACAATAACTGCTGGATGTCTGGCCCCTGAGCTCTTGGCTTTCAGTAACTGTGGCCCCCTGAGCGACTCAGTTGAATAGCCCTGGACTATTGGCTTTTTTTTCTTGCTTCTTTGAGGACAACTCAGTCACTTTTACAGATATTGACCTTAAAGTTGACGTGCCAGCAGCTGAGCCTGATCACTGACAGACTGTGCAGATATTTGTTTAAAATGGCATTTGGAGTCATGTTTGTCTGTTAGCAAAACTTCTCATGAATCGCTGGAAGGACTTTAATGAAACTTTCAGAAAGTAATTATCAGATGGAAACCTATAACTGATTGTTGTTTGGAGATGATCCAATTCAAAATGACCACCGCAGTTAATCCACATTAGCCAACACAATAATGGCTATAACTCAGATGAATTGACAAATGCTGATCTACAAATTGACGTGGAAGTTGCTGAGGGTCATTCACAACACATACTCTGAGCGCAACATCTAGCCATACATTTAGATTGTGCATGTTATTGTCAAGATTTGACCGAAATGGTTACAACTCAAGATGATCTTAGTCTAACGCTCAGGCGTTAGACTTTTCATTTGTATTCTAAACACAGTTTCTAAAGATGACAGGGGGCACGTACAAACTAATGTTTTTCATCTTTAATATATTTCACTGTCAATGTGAATCAAATGAAAATCAAATGTAAACACATGTAAATCAAAGATTTTTTTAAGTTACAAAGTGAAAACAGCTAAAGTTGTGCTCAGTAGCTTTATGAGTTGTTGTCATCATAACACTGCCTCTTTGGTAAAGTAAATGCATCTTTAAAAAAAAAACACTAGTTTTATGAGTAAAGAAAAGTTTTGAGCCATTGCTTGTGTTTTGTACCCCAGATCCTCCTGAGAGTCCGAGTCTGTCCTGCTACAAAAAGTCACCCAGCAGTAAAATTCGCTGTGAATGGAAGCCTCAGAAACCCGTCTTAAAGCATCCGGACTGTTACCTGATTTTAAAAAAAGGGTAAGGATACAGCATGTGTAATCACTTCCAAAATATACATTTTTTTAAGCTGTACAAGAGGTACTTGTGAACCACGGTTGACCAAATACACAGCCTGCTGTGTAGGAACCAAAAATGATAAATGATCATATAAAAATTGGTAAATGGTAAACGGACCCGGCTACTCAACTCTCCCATGAAACTATTTAAACAAATAAAATGACAAAGGTGTCCAGTTCATCAGCCGAAATCATAAAGTGAAATGTTTCTCAAATCTGTGTGCGTTTCCTTCAAACAACCAACCCATTGTTTGAGCTATTGTATTTTTCAGACCGGATTATAAGGTGCATTAAGTGAAGCAAAACAGTCAGATAAGTCAAACTTTATTCAACTCATTCACAATAAAATCGGTTCGAGATCAGTAAGCACAACCAGAGTTAATACATAAGGTGCACCTGATTATAAGTCTCACAGTCGATTTTTGAGAAAATTAAAGGATTTTAAGTGCGCCTTAAAGTCAGAAAAATATGGTACTTTAACATTATTTTAAACACAAACTGAGATTTAGAAGACACTAAAAGTCTCATTTGATTTTCATTCCTTTCATGTTTTGTAAAAAGTTAAATTTGTTGTAGTTAAAAATGCATTCTGTTTTTCAGCACGTTTTGAGGAGTTCAGACGTCTTCAATTAACTAATAAACAAAATTACCTTATAAATGGACATGAGCTCTAAAATTAATCATGTTTAATGTTTTTACCTCAAAAATGTTACTGCAAAAAACTTTTGTCATTAAAAGTTAATATTTGTTTACCTCCATCCATCTATGTTCATCTATGATTGGGTCACAGAGGCAACAGGTCCTGGAGGGAAACCCAGACTCCCCCACTCCCCAGTTGAGGCATTCCCAGACCAGAGAGGATGCAGAATCCTTTCTCTGAGTTCTAGATCTGCACCAGGACTTCTCCAGAAAACATCCATCCTAATCAGATGCTTGAACCACCTCAGCTGACTCCTTTCGATGCAGAGGAGCAGGGCTCTCCTCCGAGCTCCCCCCACATTATGAAGCTCCTCCCCCTTTCTCTAAAGCTGATTCCGGCCCCCCTGCAGAGGGAGCACATTTCGGTTGCTTGTATCTGAGCTGTTGTTCTTTGGGTCCTAATCCAGACCTTAAATCTATCCGTACTTTAGTTTAAACTGATTTTTGTAAAATGAAGTTCCTCGACACAGAGTTTGTACCTTTTTTTGTCAAATCAACTAAATGTGGCTCACTGCTTTCTGTATGTTTTTGCGTCTTATTCATTTTTCTGTGCGGCTTCATTCATTTTTGTATTTTTGTCTTTGTCTTTCATCTCTCAGTGAAACAACAGAGCAGGTCCCCTGCTCGTACTCTTCCCAGCACTCTCAGTGTTGGTGCGCTCTGGAGCACAACGAAGACGAGCAGAGAACCCTTCACGTGGCCTCCCTGTGCGTTACGAGCATCCTGGGCAACGCCACCAGCCCCCCGTCATTTTTCAAGCCCCTGAATATTTGTAAGTGGATGTTCCGCTGCTCAGCTGTTTGACTCAAAATGAGCTTCTGGTCAGCTCAAGCTGTTCCTTCCTCCTCTATTAGTGAAGCCTGACCCCCCATCAAACATATCGGCCCACCAAGAGGAGGGCCACGAGAGAAGGTTGAAGGTCTCCTGGAACTTACCGCGTTCCTGGAAGCGGCAGGATGACTTCTACGACCTCATTTATGAGCTCAGATACAGACCTTTGACATCAGCGCATGAACAAGTTGGTTAGCCCGTCAAACAATCTGGTCTGAAATTATTAAATCATCTGCCACTGCTCAATAAAGACTGTTTTGTGTGTCTGCATGCTTGCAGGTAGATAAGATAAAAAGCCAGCGCTCATACATTATCACCAACACTCTGCCTGGTGAGGAGTATCTGATTCAGCTCCGACTCAAAGAAGAATATGACGGTCAGTGGAGTGAGTGGAGTTCACCGCTTTATGCCAGGAGTTGGACGGGTAAATATTAATGCACACACATGTTTAAATCAAGCTGTCACTTTAGGATAAAGAACAGGTGCCTCCCAGTTCAGAGGGGCCCTGGTGGATAAATCAGATCATTTATTAACTCCTTGATATACTTATGTCACTTTGGACGCAGACTATATTTTTGACAACCTGACTTCTGGTTCCTTCTTGCACAAGTGGGTTTTCCCAAGAAACTGTGGCCATAAATAACCCGTAACCTGCATCGCTTCTTGTTTCACTTCCTCCATAAATAAATGTACATTACCATGCACAGCGTACATTCAGAGTCCCGGACACATAGTCTTCTTTGTGTCTTGATGGGTTTTTTTTTTACTTTATTTTTAAATTATAAAAATGGCTGATGATTTCACATTTTAGAAGGAAAGTAAAACCTTGTTCAGGGGTCATTTTTTAAGTGGAAAATACTTTCTTTTTTTTTATGCTTGGAAAAAAGTAGAATGATGTATGTCCTTTGAGCTTGTATTTAAAACAAACACAAATACCTTCAAATCTAACTTCACAGTGGTTCCCAACCCTGGTCCCTGAGGAACACCACCCTGCATGTTTTAGCTGTTTCCCTGCTTCAGCACACATGATTCAGTGGTTTGATTACTTCCCCAAGTTCTGCCGGAGCCTGTTAATCACCAAATCATTCAAATCAGGTGTGTCAAAGCAGGGAAACAGCTAAAACATGCAGGATGGTGTTCCTCAAGGACCAGGGTTGGGAACCACTGCTTTAACAGATATAAGAAAGTGGACTCGATCATAAGGCTCCTGATGCTCCGGGTTGTTGAGAGTCAAAAGTAGTCGAAACTTCCTACGCTTGAGCTGCAGCTCTGTGTTGTTCCAAGTTTTTATTTCCTCAGTTCCTGTCACTTCTGTCTAATTTTAATAGAAAAGTAAAAACAAGCTGCAGAGAGCATGTGGGCGCTACTCTGGTTTACATTTAGGCAGATAATTTGAAGGCTGTCGAGTCAACATTTGGATCATGATTTCTGAACAAATGCATTCAAGTGTTTATTTTCAAACCAGCTGTGCCTCTTGTAAAAGCTAATTGGAGTATAATATGTTGAATATGTCATGGCATATAAGAGACAGGAAAACCCAGCTTGTTGATATCTAACAATTTATTACAAAAAATAAAAATTTAAAATGTCGAGCAGATTGTCCCAGGGATACAACAGATGGTAGAATCTGTCTGGCCTCAGATTGTCAGAAACTGCTCATTACAAAGTTATCAGTGAGACCAAACAACACTATTAGTCTCGTCACAAGTGGAAGGACTTAGTGGGCTGCAAGGCCCGACATTGAACTGTGAACAGATATGCACCAAACAGGGCAATTCTGTTACATCTAATGAGGACATATCAAAGAGCCTGTCAATATTTTATCAGTGAGTCTCATTTTTCTATGACAAAATGATCTACAGGATTTTATAAACTATCAAAAACAGGTACAAAGACCGTCCTAAAAGTGACTGCAGGATTTGGAGATATAAACTGTACTATCTGTATTGATTAACCTTTTTATTTAACCAAGCAAATCCCATTGAGATCACAGATCTCTTTTGCAAGGGAGGCCTGGGCCTGAAGGCAGACTAGTGGGAGGAAACTGGAGTACCTGGAGAAAACCCACGCAAGCATGAGAAGAACATGCAAACTCCACCCCAGATCCAACCGGGGATTGAACGCAGGACGTTCTTGCTGTGACGCAACAGTGTAAACCACTGAGCCATTGTGCTGCCAATACCATAATATCAATATTAATATTTTTTAAAGGTTCACAGAACTTAGCTAAACTGGAGAAACTGCATTTCCTGCTAAAATGCATTGTGAATGTTGATTGCTAAATGAGTTTTGCTGAAAGCTGCTGAAGAAATTGGAACCAGGCTAAAAAGGTTTTGTTGCTGGTAATGCCAGTTGAATTAGCTGAAAGCAAGAAAATTAAAGCAGAAAGCAGAAGAAAATCTGCAGAAATGAGCAGAATAAGCTGAATAAATAATCTGTAATTAGCAAAAAAAAGACTGAAATCAGCAACAAAAAAAGAAAATGTTGAAATTAAAATAAGTAGCTGAAAATGTTTTTAAAAAGTTGAAATTAGCAGAAACAGGCTAAAAAAAATAAAGGCTCAAATTAGCAGAGGAAACACTAAAAAGTTACTGAAAAGGCAGAAAAATGCTGAACTTAGCAGAAAAAAGCTCAAAGGACAATAAAACGCTCAAATTAGCAGCAAGAAGCTGAAAGGATCAAGAAAATAGCTGAAAAGGACGAAGCAGAACTGTTAGAACCTGGGGCAAACCCAGTCACCTGTAACTAAATGTGGGCAACCCTCAAGCAGCCACGGAGTCAATGGATATGTGTTCAACAGTGAGTTTATTTACAATTGTGCATATTATTGTTGACCAGTTTGAGTCTTAGCAAACTTCAGGGTGAGCCCAAGCCAAAACAACAAACAAGACAAACTATCACTACTGTTTTTCTCATACCTAAAAAAATTAATTTACCAAAATACACGTCTCTTACCTTAACTAAGCAAACAAAGTCAGGAGAAAATGTCTTGAAAATCAAATGGCAGCTCACCCCTACAAACTCTTCACAAAACTAACTAATTGATCTGACAATAATGATTGACAGCAATGACAGAAAAATGATCTCAACAGAGTGAAAGCTTTATAAGGACTCACACTATAAACATTTCCAGTCTTTTGTTTTTCTAATTATTTAAAAGAAGTTATATCTAACTATTAGAGGTAGTTCAGATTTGTTGGAGCGAGTTTCTGTGTAGTAGACTTTTCCTGCAGTGGACCGCTGTCAGATCAATCTCAGAATCGCAAAATCACAAGGAGATTCTCTCCGGAGTGTCAAGCTAATGTTACATAGTGGTTTGTAGCTGTTAAAAGCAAACTTCCTTAATCTAAAACAACCCCCCCCCCCCCACACACACACACACACACACACACACACACTCTCACGCACTAATTTTGTAGTGGTTTTAGCAAAACCCAACGCTGAGGACTGTGGATTTTTACTTCACGTTTCTTTTTGCATCAGATACTTCTTCTGTGTTTAACACAGAGCATTTTGCAGAACATGTTTCACACAAATGTGTTGCAACAACCCACACATTATGTTCCAGCACAGCCAATTCTCAGTGTAAACAATCATGGCCAGTCAGAATCAGAATAAGCTTTATTATCATTGCACTGAGATACAACGAGAACATGTACATACAGTCGTCCGAAAGATGGACGTAGTGCACAAAGATGCTGCTGATTAGCACGGCCCTCTTATTCTTCCTCAGAATAATATTTTACTTAGATGAGAAAAGGGAAGAAAACATGAGGAGAGACGGTACAAAAAAAAGATCTCTCACTTCGTGTTCTAGACAGGGCACGAAGTGAGGCATCAAAAAAACCTACCACAGCAAAGCAACATAAACAGACGTTATACATGAACATATAGGCAGTGAAGACATTGAATTTTAAGGGAAGGTTGTAGCATAGTCCAGAACACCCCCCCCCCCCCCCCCCCAGCCATTGTCCAGATAAGAGGTGTTATTTTTCATCAGCTCAGCTGAGGTTCCGTCTCATGTCCACGGCCTTGGGGAAGGGAGGAGTGAAGAGACAGATCTTTGTTTTTATTAAACATGCCAGGAGGAGTTGAGATAAGTCCGCTGTCAACGCCACAGTTTGGATCAGGCAGAACTCATGAAGTGACGTTTCTGCCTTTTAAAGTCTCGCTAGTACATTTCTCTGATGGTGACTCCAAACAACCGAATTGATTCCTTACGCTGAAAGTCGAGCTCACAGCTTTCAGTGTAAACAACCATGGCCAGTCCTCGGGGTAAACAACTATCCGATGCAAATGATCCAACACTCTACAACAGATATCACTGTTAAATATCTGATGTTCAGGTAAGATGTTGATTACTCAGACCTGTTCTGTAGGAACTCACTTAAGTAAAATCTGAACTAACACTATAAATGAACTCTCTAGGACACACATTGGAATTTTTGGGTAAATATTGTGTAATGTTTCCTTCTGGACCAGTGGCTCTCAGCTGGTCCACCATCACGTCACCCCTTAACGATGAGCCGTCAACCCAAACTTTCAACTTCTCAAATTTACTGAATGACGAGATGGTTCAGTTAGAACCTGAGATAGAACATAATATTCCAGTACAAAAATAAAATAAAATAAGACAAAAAAATACCTAAGAGATGTAACGATAAACTGGCCAGCAAGTGATGATGCTAGAGGAGGAAGTGTTTTGTCTTACACTCAAGTGGCTGCATTTTAATTTCAACCTAAACACTTCAGCCTTTTTTTTTTTTTTTTTTTAATTTGCACATTTTTATTGATGATTTTTCCATACAAGTGTACATACAGATTTTACAATATTTTCTTTTTCCAGATGTTCCATACATATCATCCAAGAAAGTCTGCACATAACATCTGTAACTGCCTCAGACATAACAACTCTGCTAGTCTAGATAATATCCAATCATTTCCTTGTTAACAACAACAACAAAAAAAAGAAAAAAAAAACAAAACAAAAAAAAACAGAACAAAACTGTACGTAAACTATTTGCAGCCTGTAGCTCTAAGGGTTCCTGTAACCACACTATTAAACAATAAAGTCTGATCTCCAGGATGAAACAAAACCCCGCCAATTTTCCCAATAATTCCTAAATTTTCCAGGTTCTAATCTGATGGAAAAAGTCAGCCTTTCCATAATATAAATATTATGCATTATGTCAACCCAATCTTCCCTCTTGGGAGCTTCTGCCTTCAGCCATTTCCTAGTAATGGCTTTTTTGCTTGCTACCAACATAACCCTATACATATATCTATCGCCTGCTCTTGTGATCCTTTCCATCCCTCTTCCCATGTACAGATCCTCAAATGTAAGTGGAATATTCACCCCCAGTACCTTATCCATACAAGTCTTTACATCCCGCCAATAGGGTACCATGAAGGCACAATCCCAAA